AGAGGTAGCGGCTACCATTCCAATTCCGATACCTTCTTCAAGCCCTGTATTAACCATTACGTCCCAACCAGACCACCCATCGTCTTCAGTCAAACTAACATTGTCCTCTTCAGAGGTAGAAGCTACCACTCCAATTTTCAAATCTTCTTCAAGCCCTGTATTAACTATCACGTCATCACCGGTCATACCATATTCATCACTCCAGGAATTATCTTCCTCTTCAGCAATAGTGACTACAAGTGGTACTTCTACTTTTACATCTGCCTTTGACACTGCATTATTTGCCTCCTCCATTAAACCCTCTATATCTTTATCAATAATATCTTCAAGTATTTTGCTACCAACAACAACTACAAACAAAGGTAATAGTGAATATCTCAGTTATCTCTAAACCCTATACTGATTTTGCTTCCGAGCCTTGCAAATGTAGAACTTAGGGGGGGGGAAATAATACACTTAAATGTCTTTGATACTTTCGTATTGTTTTACAGTGATGTTCACTGTCAAATTCACCATGATGGAATGGAGCCCAGAGTTACAGAAGCAAGGAAGTTCTTTAAGGACAAAACTTGTTGAAGCAATAACGATAAACGTAAGTAACAAACCTAAGTAATAATGCAGGAACACATTAGTCCAACAGAAATGTAGAGAAATCAATTTTTACCAAGCTCGTTCAAAAATACGGGGTTTTTTTCTGTATGGTAATTCTCCAAAGCACTTTGGCAGAAAGGGCAAAGTCAAGAGAATATGAACTAAGAGAAGGAATCCAACCGATATAGCCTTGTAGCCATCATGTGCACAGTTTGTTGCTATTTTTAGCTTGGAGATCTTTTGAGCGAAGAACCTGATTGGTTGATTTCTTGAGGGTAGGCGGCTTCCAATCTTGCAGTAAATAAAAGCCTGTGTTTTTGTCGTGGACGTAGCGAAATATGGCGCTTTTCGTGTCCTAAAACGAGGCATTAAAGGGAAGCATGATTATCGCGCAGGCATGGTAACGAGTTAAAAATAGCATCAGTGATTCTAAAAATAGCATCAAAGTGTGCACATGATGGGGCACGGGGATTCCTTCTCTTAGTTCATTTTCTCTTGGCATAGTGATATGTAAAATGACACTATCGATAATTTAAATTCTGATCTGCCTTTAACCAGCAACCAGCGCAAATTTTTCACGATGAAAGGTATTCCTCACGGTTATATGTTTAAGCTCCTTTTCCCCCTTTTTGTTGGAATCTAATTTATTACTCAAGATTTAAGGCAGGCAATACTTCTTACTTTCCTGTTATTGCTGCTGCTTCTACTACTGCTAACGTTAATCAGTTACGATTTATGGTGCTGCTATTGCTGTTGTTGCCATTGTTGCTGTGGTTGTTGCTTTTGCGGTTGCTTTTGATTTTATTGCTGTAGTTGTTGTTGCTGTTGTTACTCTTGCTGCTTTTCCTCTTTTTGTTATTGCTCGTGTTTTGCTGTTGCTGTTGCTCTTGTTGCTGCCTTTGCTGTTGTTGCTGTTGCTGTTTGTGCTTGCGGTTGATGTTTCTGTTTTTACTGTTTTTATGTTGCTGTGTCTACTGCTGCTGTTATTGCTGCTGGTGTTGTCACTGTTGCTGCTATAGCCTTYGTTGATTTATAAAACAAACTCATGCTTTCACAGATTCAGAATTTCTACGCAGGAGACTCCATCTTCAAATACATAACAGTGACACTTTTCAGGTACAAATAGCTGTATAACAATTTAGCAGTCAAATATTATTGTTGCATAAAAGAGAGAAAAGCTCTCGATACAATGGCAAAATATTTGAATTTTGTTAGCTGAAAGCCAAAATGATGTTGCTCACAGTGACGTGAAACATTTGAAAATATTTTTTCAAACAAATAAACATTTTTCACCAGACAAAACCATTTTTGAGTCATATAAAAACATGGTACTTGTATGTAAACTAATAACTTCTTCAATAATAATCTATGTTAGCCCACAAGACACATATTTAGCTTATTGCTTTTGACAGGAAAGGAAGTGTCATAAGTGATTTCAACATCGGCTATGCAGCACTGGATTCTATCCAAATCCTGAAGCTACAAGAACATGTCACGATGACTGGAAAAATATCTACAATTCCGGCACAGATTCTGAATATTTCATCAGATAAAGGTAAGAGCATTGAGAGAGCAAGAGAATTGAAATGGAAAAGTGTAAGAATATATATTAAATAAAGTTTCGATTCAAACATTTACAAGTACTGCTTGTGATCGAGTAATACATGTTTCTGGACTCTCCCTTTCCAGTCCCAAATGCTCCTATAATAACGTCTGCGACAAGTTTTAATTCCACATCCATTCAACTCAACTGGACAAGTGTTTCAGATGCAGGAGGCATGGGTTATCTTGTGTACTACAAAGAAGCTGGCAGTCGATTTGATCCAGTTAAGTTCAAGTCTGTATTGCCTGCATTCACGCAAACAGTGATCAGCAGCCTTCGAAAATTTACACGCTATACATTTCGTGTCCTGGCTTCTTCCAGTAATGGAAATGGAGTAGCAAGTGAACCTGTTACGATATCCACAGATGAAGATGGTGAGTAAAGTTAAAGAAGAAACAAAATGTATGCATAGCCACTTTCAAGACTTGCAAATGTTGTCAATACCCTTATACAGACTATAGGCTAATCAAAGTCAGTGCACGGTTAACTCACAGATCGAATTGACATTTACTCATTATTGATACGCTAACCTATGCACCACATCCCACCAAATCGCTCTTTTATGCCGGCCCATCCTGCCTCTCCATTTTTATTTCCTATTTCTATTCATTAATATAAATTTGTTGATTGCTTTGGTAAAACTGGAGTGATCTTTTTATCATATTTAGAAATGATAAGGTACGTTGTAGTGTTAAAGGAACACAACAACAATACATTTCGAGCATTGTTCTTAGAATATAATATGTCAGTAAAAAAAATCAAGTCATCCTTTCAAATTATATCTTATTTTGCACTCTACAGTTCCATCCGTGCAACCAAGTAATTTTGAAATAATCGTGTACAGTGCTACAAGAATAGGTCTAGTTTGGGATGCGATCAAAGACGACCAGGCTAATGGCATTCTACTTGGATATAACGTATCATTGACATGGCGCGATAAGATGGATAATCAATTGAAGACGATTCTTAGAACTGTTTTGCCAGCTGGTGGCTCACCCATGATCTTACTGGACGATTTACAGAGCAATACAGAGTGTACTTTCATAGTTTGTGGATTTACTTCAAAAGGTTGTGGACCCTGGAGTATAGAAGTGATTGGACGAACCTTGTCTGATGGTATGTTGCCGACTGAATATGTTAGTTGGTCTTTTTGATGTGTAATCCCTCTGTAAAAATTAAAACAAAATGGCTAGTTAAAATTGTATGCACAGAAGATTGGGCCATAATACACGGCCATTAGGAACTGAACCAAGTTACTAAATTAGTTAACTCACTCCAAAATATATATTCTATAAATTCAGTTCACTTTACTTTGGGTCATCTAGTTTTGACAAAACAGCTTTTCGTAGGYATCGCATAGGGCATGGCGATAAAATTTTGAAACCATGGCCTTCGTTGCAATTTTTATCATATCATTAAATAATTCTAGTCAACTACAATGATACGCATTGCGCGCCGGAATCAAAACGATCACGGAAAACTCATAATGTCTCAAATAGAATCGCTTTGAAAAATTCAACCTGCTTGCTGTGGAACGAAAGGTAGGAAACTTTGGAAATTTGAAGACCTTGACATAGGGAATTTGCAGAAATTTTGCTCCAACAGTGCATGGAAGAGCTTCGAGAACGGTGTTGGTTAACGATGTAATTAGATCTTATTAACCGAGCAGGAGGTCTGTACGGGATAATCTTGACCGAGGTCGGAATGTACAGACCGAGCGCAGCGAGGTCTGCACCCGWCCGAGGTCAAGATTATCCCGTACAGACCGACCAAGCTCGGTTAATAAGAGTTTTATTATATGACCACTTTTCATTGAAAAGGACAAAATGTTTTCTGTTGAGAATCTAGACCAGTGCGCGATGCGATCTATCCAATCAGATTGCTCGATTTGCTAGTGTCCATGCTCTAAGATTCACGGTCATATAATAAACAATAATATAGGGGCGCAATGCATTGTAGTTGACTAGGATTCTTTATTATAATTACCATCATCATATTCTTTCTATGTAGCATCCTTCTCATCATCGTCATACTATTTGCCCTTCAAACGTCTGGCTAATGTAAATTTGATGTTCTGATCATTTGATAATGTCAATTAGGATAAACTTTAGGATTTCTGTTCACGTACCTAACAAAATGTTCTTTCGAAAAAGTATGTGTTTTTATTTATTATTCAGTTCCTAGTCAACCTCCAAGTAACATAACTTATTCAAATTTCACATCAACGTCTTCTGCAACAATCCACTGGAACCCAATTCCTCTCGGTCACGTCAATGGCATTCTGCAAGGCTACCAACTAACCTACACACTGGTAACACAATCAGAATTAGACGTTGAGGATGGAACTTCGACAACACGGTTTATTGGACCTAATAATCGTTCATTGGAACTAATTGACTTACAAGCTCACTCCATTTACAGAGTGGAGATCGCTGGTATCAATGATGTTGGAATAGGAGTGGCTCAGACTGTGTATGTTGGTAAGTCACGCAAGATCAAAAAGAAACGTCAGTTTGCCACATTTTATATATATCCTGATTTCTAATGCTTTTGTCCTTTTAGCAAATTCGGATGGCACACTAAAATGCACACTATGCTTCATTAAATTATTAGTTTTCATTCCTACAAAACCATAAGATGAGATAACATGAAGTCAGTTGGTTAGGTATAATAACCTTGGCATTTTAACAAACCATTTTGGATTACATTTTTGTCGTTTGTTAATGGTGTGATTTTTGAATTTTAACCAGAAACTTGTCGCTGTCCAAAAACTCTCTACACGAACTTCTGGGTCCATCCTCCCTACTTGACCCAAAACACCAGTACTGGTGTCATTGATGGGATCTTTCCCAACATCGTGACTCAAATGCTAACTTGGGCCTGTGGTGTTTGTAACAACGGGCATGGAGATACGATACTAAATATGACGTCTAACGGGAGAGATATGACGTCATTAAAGGACAGTGTCGTTGGGGTAATAGAAGACATTGATGATGTTCCACAAGTCAGTTTTCCAATCTATGGGAACAAGGATTTTAAAGAGTACAAAGGATCTCATCAATATGTGCACGTAGTAGACTCCCCTGGAATAGCATTTATAACAGTCAAAGAACCACTTAAACAGTTTGCTGTCACAAACGTCGTAATAGGCTGTTTACCACTCCTTGGTCTGATCATGTGTATGACATTCATCTCTGGATTTGCTGTCTGGCTATTGGTAAGTAAACGCTTATTTTGCGATTCCAAAGCAATTTTTGAGCATGGTACGGTGTATCTAGAACTGCTTAGTTGTTTATTGAAGAAAATGTGTGCTGTCATAAAGCACTTGGGGGTTGGCAGAACACGAGAGAAGTATTAGGAGAAGCACGACGCGTAAGTGTTCGAGTGTTCAGCCAACCCCAAAGTGCTTTATGACTGCACACAGCACAGCAAGCARGTTTTTTATTTCTTTTATAAAATACAAATTACAATTATAGATAGGAATGACGCAACGGAAAAGGGGGCGCGTGCAATGTGCTCTCATAAAGCAAGGGGTCCAAACCAATCAGAACGCGACATTCATAACAGTTATTTTAGTAATATATACAGTATGAGTGGCAGTGTTGTATCAGATATACAACCACGAGGCGTAGTCGAAAATCCTTTGCAAAACTTAGTAAATTCAAAATACACTTCTATTGTGMTTCGGTGGATTACGATGTGCCTCTCACGCGCACACAAACCTTAATTATCTCTTTTCACAAAATATTTAGGAATCAAGGCAAAATGAGCAATTCCCGGTGAAATTTACTAAAGGAATAAGGGAAGGATTTTGGTGGTCTTTCATTACCATTACAACTGTTGGGTAAGTTTTTGCTTAAAATTTAGAAAGATTTTATAGAACGGTCTGGACCCAGGTGAATGAATGTTGATCGAAGTATTATGATCATCCGGGTGGATTTAAAAGGACTGTTTGATGTGAATGACGTTTCGACAACCTGAGCCGCGGAAGTGATCTTCAGAGTCAAGTGAAGAGTAAAGTAGGATAAGAAATAAAGAAGTAAAATAATTTAGAAAAAGAAGCGGTTTCATGTAAAAGTAAGACACGTTACTTAAGAAGTGTTGCACAAAAAACATATAAAACCTTATGAAACCACAATAGAAAAAAGTTCAACGCTATCACCGTGATCACAGTAAACTCTGATGCACACTTACGGTATATATGACTTTCGTGGTTTCCGCTTCGCAACTGCGACGCTACTTCAACGACAACAGGCTGCCATTCTCTAGTTAGTTCAAATGACGCTGTATTATTTAATGTTAGTAAAAATACGCAGGTGATTATAGAAAATCTCGCGCGCTGATTGGTCAAGAAACTCACACTATCACACGATAATCACCTCGAGCGAAAATCCAAAATGGCGGCCAGCCGCTTTGTTGCTGTTACCGGAAAAAATGCCTTTTATATTCTTTTCTTTTTCTTTTTTTGAAAGAATCACCTGTGTATTTTTACTAAAACAATTATTTGCCTCAGGCTCAGTGATTTTATTGGGTAATATTCCCCGATATTCACTTCGCCTTCGGCGAATAATTGTTAATTGATATGTCAYTCTTTCGTATGAAACTGATCTGAATATTTCTTTTCCATAGCTATGGTGATCGATACCCTATTTCTGTAATCGGTCGTTTATTTGCAATTTTGTGGACCCTTTGTGGCTTGGTGACTATTTCAATTCTCATTGGTGGATTAACAGCATCCCTGACAACGGTTACAATGAGTGGTGGCATCATGATTTATGGGACGAAGGTAATTTTGTAACTTTTAGTCTACGTGATGCAATTTTGGGCCACCTTGAATAAACATTCTGCTTGCGGGTCTATATGTGACTTGAAATACGCATTATCAAAGTAAAAATATTTTTTTTAAATGTAGTATACAGCTATTTCAAAAACAAAAAATCTTGAACACTGAATACTGCATTCTGAATAGTGCGTTTAACCTGTATTCTTCGTTTGCAAGTTACGTCATCGCGGCCCTGCTAATACCATTTAACAAAAGATTTCTCATTAGCATCCATTTTTAACGGTACCACAATGGCCGCCATGTTTTTGTCTTTTAACCCTCTTGAGAATGCTTGCAACCCATCAATAGGAAAAAATACATAATTAAGCAATTGGTATGTATTTTTTCTTGGGGTCGAAAGTTTATTCAACGACAACGTTTTCGTACTACGCAAGAACAAGACACATAATTATCAATGCAAAAAAAAAGCATTTTCTTTGTCGCGCATTGGCCTTTGTATACGGTAAATGTTCTTGAATATGTTGTTGGCTTATTGAGTGAACTGAAGACCCAGTTATGGAGTTATTACAAGGGCTTAGTCTTACAAGGACATGATGTTCCTCAACAACACAAATTTAAACTTATGATTATATCGTTGTTTGCAATAATAATACTGGCTGGGAAAGCTAATCAATGGAGAATATTTGGTGTAATATGTTTTTGGCTTTTAAACTTCATATTAAATAGAATTATCAACAGAAAGTCGTTTTTCGAATTGCCAATCGAACGAAACTTTTTCTAGGGTAGTCAAAATATTATACACTTGTTCGCTAAAAGACACCTGAAATCTTGAAGATTACTTCGTGCAATTGATCCATTTTTGTCTACATCAAAATGTTGCTCTTCAAAATTGACCTTACATTGTCCCAAAATGATCATCATGTTTTCTGTGCACTAGAAGATCTGCTACTTTTGCTTTGAAATCTACCTGGAGCCCTGTGGTGTGCACAAATAAATTGCAACATATTCTAACTAGTAAACCTTTTTTAAACACAGACAACTGTAATTGAGAACTCAACTGAACATAACGTAGGAATACTCAAGAATGCAAAGATCAAAAACGGTATGGAAATTGTATTTCTTTTTGTTCCTTAAAAAAACAGAAACATATTTTCAATTAACTGGGGACGGGGACGGGGACGGGGACGGGGACGGGGACGGGGACG